GAGCAGTTTTGCCAATAATAATCAACCAAGTATAAAATTAAATTGTATTTATTTTATTACATTAACAAAAAAATTGTTTTGCTTTGTCATTGATGAGTAATGAGTATACTAAAAAAAAGTTTAATCCATTTTAAGAATTAAATCAAAGTATTTATAAAAAGTAAATACAGTGTTTATTTAACCTATTTGACTGCACTATGGGCAAGAGGTCAATACAGCTCAACAGTTGGTCAAATAGAAACTAATGCTGAAAGTCAGTTGGTGTCTGTATTTCTGCCAGGAGCTCCATCACAACAGTCAACATCGAGGTTTTGCCACCCAACAATCAGAGTCCACCACGCTTTCCTCTCCCGACATACAGCCTAGAAGTCAGTGAAGCTATGAGGATAGGAGCTATTCTGCTCAATCTGCAGGTGAGTCACAAATTCACACAAGGCATCGGTGTGACTTGCTGTGTCAGTATATGTTGTACTTTAGACAACAGATTTTTTTTTTTTTACTGACATTTTACATCATGTACTATGCTTGCTTTCACTCCAGTGCAGCATCCTTTTAGCTCAGCTGTCCTGTTTTGCACCCTTCAGCATATGGCCTTCAGACTCCTGTTGTCTTTTTTCTTCCTCTAGGCCATAGACAGAGAGAACGATCCGATCAGATATCGCATTTTGAGCGGGGATTCCCAGAAGGTCTTTAACCTCACTGAAACGTAAGTCCAGATGGGATTGTGTCTGACTTTTTGATTTTTAGCAATAAGGCTGATATTAGAGGTTATATTTACTCAGTGATCTGTAAGCAAAATGGCAACTTAATGGAAGGCTTTAATTGCTTTGTGAGTGCAAAGGCTATACATGCTGTAAATAGCATGACAACCGTTGAAGACGGCTTTCACAATAACAATGGACACAGCAAATGACTTGGATGGGAAGATAAAGTGAAGTGACAGATGTGCACTTGTGATGGAGGAATATAGAAGCTCACTTGGCATTCATTGGTTTTAATTATACTGTCAAATGTTCTCATAGAGAGAGAACTTTTTTCAAAGAGTTTGCTGGAGTTTGTTATTTTAAAATACGAAGGCAATTCCATACAGAAGAAAACTGCAAACAAATTAAGTGCTAAAAGGACAGCCTGAAGCACTAACCTTCACATATTGGCTCATATTTGTACCATTTAATCAAGCTACCAGTTGAGGCTCAGTGAGGTGACTATTTCTCAACCAGAGACTCTGCTTATATACTTTAGACCTTGCTCGGTTTAGCATTTGTACTGAGGAATGCAGTCTTTAGTTTAGAAAATTTTGAATTGGAAAACGCTTCACTGCTATTCATTAGATCACTGACTAGCTTCAGAGTGTTGTTGTTGGACATTTTGAACCCCACAAAGGCTGCGATCACGTGCTCTCACCTTGCCAGCCTATTTCTTCCATAATTTGCAGAGCAAGGTCGGCTAAAATAATTAGAAAAGGTTTTTAGCTCATATGACTGAAGGAGCAGCGAGCTGGTGTGGTGGCAATGGCTCAGCCATCAGGCTGCAGTCCACAAGAATCAGTTTTCTAATAAATTATCATAAAACAGCAAACATGTTTTGGAGAGATCTCAACATTAGCATACAAAAAACTCACTCACCTACTTCTACGGAGCAAGCAAAAAGCATAAAATATTGTGGGCGCTGAGTGCTTTTCTCATCTATAAACGAACAAGAAATATGGAGTGACGAGACATGGGGAGACTGAAAATGCAGGGCCTTGCCAGACATGTGTCTCACTAATTGATTAAAGCTTATTTTGTCTGCGTTTTCAACCTCCCAGCTAGGTAAGGACAAGGTGTGTTGCAGTACTGTATTGCCACCTTTTCTCCACTCTTAATTTGCTCCACGGTGTTAAAATTGTATGGTTTTATAGAGAGTCGTTTGCTGTGTGGTTTAGTCACGGTAAGCAAAAACATGGTGACACAATCAAAATAGCAGGGGATCGCTATTTTTGCCACTGGCACTGTAATCTCCTAAACCAGATATGACAGAAATCATGCTAAAATAAATAGACACATCTCCATTTAGCTCATTCTTCGTGTGTCCAAAATGTTACAGTCACATCACAGGCTTTCACCAGGCTATCAGTATAATAAATGCAAGCAAGTGCTGATATAGCACATGATGAATCAAAAAAATTATTAGTACAACTGACGAGTGTGCAATTTACAGTACAGAGCGTATTGCACACTCTAATTTTTCAACCCTCAGAACTCAGATTTGATTCAGTGAAGAGATTTTTGCATTGCTGCATGTTCAGATAACAGGCTACATAGAAGGCTGGCTCAATCCAGCTTGCATGAATAATGAGCCCTCCAGTAAGAACTTTCTTATAAATGGGGCAGAGACCCCTAAAGGAGGTGGAAATGCTTCATATTCACTTACTGTTATGTCTAGATTTTCCACTAGAAAGAACGGACGAGTTGATTTCAAATGTAAAATTTCTGTCTCGGTGCATATTGCTTTGATCATAAATCTTTTAAGCACCAGTGTTTGAGATCGTCTTACATTTGGGCCAGTATATTGCTGTCAAATAAAATTAAAAAAAAAAATCAAATATCAGTATTTAATCAGCTACAACAATATTCGTTATATAAATTTTATTGTGGGTTTTCAGTCTGCAGATCTTGATGCTACTTTGAGTACTCTGACCCTGCCTACTTTTGTTTGATTACAACATCGTCTTTGAAGTCAGTTTTCTTTTTGTAGTTTCTCAGAGTCATAAAAACCTAACCTGGAGGCTATGCCAGCTTTGATACTTGCAGTGTGTTCTAGTTGGCAGCTCAGTGTGTTGCTTCAAAGTGGAATTGAAACCAAAATTAGGAGGGGATCAAGTGAAATTACTCTTCTTCTTTTTTTTTACTGTCCAGTGAAACTAACATTGGGCACAATATGGTAATCAGACTCAGTTTTAAATACAACATTGTGCAAGTTTTGAGCCACCTCTCATTCATCATAGTTTGTTGGAAAATTTGGAAAATGGTAGCAGTAATTTATTAAAAAAAACTACAGTTTTGTCAAATCCTAACTAGCTTGTTCAGTTAATATTGGCATGACCAATCTTTACTCCTCAACAAAGCCTGAACTGTCCTCAGCTCAACTTAGGCAAAAATTCTATCAAAATGATGCTGCGCTGCTTCAGTGACATTGAGGTCCGGGCTCTGGGGATGCCAGTCCATGCCTGACAGTGTTCCAGGGTTTGCGTTAGGTATAAGGTATTTTTCTGTGTTCATCATTCTGTTGATTTTTTAGCAAGATCCCTAACATCACTACCTGAAATGTAGCCCTAAACCATAACTGAGCCTCCGCCATGTTTTACAGATAGCTGCAAGCACTCACTGTTGTACAGCTTTCCTGACAACCTCTGTACATATAAACCAAAAAATTCAAATTTGGATTCATCGCTTGATAAGACCCTTTGCTACTGATTTTAAGTCCAGTACTTGTTTAATTTGGCTTTCCTCAGTCTTTTCTCCTGTCACCCTTTCTTAATAATAGCTTCCTGACAGCCACCTTTCCAATGAGCTCGCTTCAATTGATGTACAAAATGCATCTGTCAGGTCTGTGTCATGCCTGTGTCAAACACATGACTTTCAGTGTACTGTACATAGTTTTGCAAGTCTGCCACTTCTTTTGTCCAGTTTCCTCAAACTGTTTAGGAACACCATGCTGAGATATGATTTGTGGTGTAAAAATACTTTTTTATGCCTGTCAAACTGAGTTGTCATTGATATTTTTATAGATTCAACTAAAGACATGAGAACCGTTATTGTGTTTTTTGTGACAGTTTGCTTCTAACAAGGTGCCTAAAGATACGATTTCAAATTGGTTCTTTGCTCAGCTGTCTGTGTAGATTACACAGCTTCATCTTCCTTTGACTTGATGCCTTTTTGAACGCTTGAATGATTCAAAGGTCAGTGTTAGGTGAAAACATTTCTCTGAAAATGGTCAGGTACAAGAACTGGACTGAAAATAGGTTGAAAGAGAACTAAGGCCACTTGAGTCTGGCTTCTTGAAGCAAAATGTAAAGAAGTGAGGGGTGGCTCAAGACTTTTGCACAGCACTGTGCAAACAACAAACATAACAATGCAGCAGCTGTAGCTTAACTTTCTCCTTGTGGCATGAATGAACTTCATCTTGGCTTAGATGATAATCTCTTCTATGCCTTTCCGCTCCTTGCCTAGCCAGATAGACACTATACATCAAGTACAGTTTACCATAAAGAGTCATGATAAGAGCAAAGTGAAAGATGTTAGTTTTATTATTTAGATAGCTGCTAAAGTGCAGCGCTGACACTCTAGATGATGCTGTTAACAGTGTCCCATAGATCTGACAGCATCGTTTCATTTGTGTTGGCTGGGGAGAGGAGGGAGGGCTCTATCGCACATGATCAGTGAACCCCTCAGATCCAGCCGCTCAAGTGTAGTTGAATACTTTAGCTGCTGTGAGGAAAAAAACTCCCCAGGCTAGCAGAATTAATCATTTTAATCTTTGTCTTAATAACCATCAAGATCATCATCATTATCACTATAATAATAACAGTTATCAATGTATATCTTCACTGTCACACATCATGGTTTCTTGTGCTTTCATTCAGAATAGAATGCTATTTTCTCCTCTCCAGCTTATGTACAGTGGGGCAAAAAAGTATTTAGTCAGCCACCGATTGTGCAAGTTCCCCCACTTAAAATGATGACAGAGGTCAGTAATTTGCACCAG